CGGGTTGGTGTGCAGAAGCCTTTACACAATTGATTCATTTAGTGTGATTTAAATACTTGGGTTGATTTCTGTTAGTAGTAGCTGGAGGTGTAGTTAGTGGTACTCTGACTGGGGAAAGTAGTAAGTGCAAGAAGTGTTTGGGGGGCCTCTAGGTGACAAGTTATAGCAGGGAGACTTCTAAGAGAGTGTAACACAGGAGCTTGCTCTTAAGCCCATGGAGTACTCTGATTAATAGAAGCAGTTCAGCACACCACAAGTCATTAAAAGTGCCAGTAGACACTCTTCTCTCTCTTTCTTTCTCTCTTCTATCTCATCTCCTCTGGTTCTCTCTGTCTCTCTCTCCTGCTACACATCGTTTGTCACAGCAGTACATAGGGGACACCTAATCAGAGCCTCACCATAATGGAAGTTTAGTCTCCTTAACACCTCTTTTCTTACTTCTTAATGAACACCGAGCAGTTTGTTTGTTTTTCAGCTGTGATTATGGCCCTGTCTAAAACAGAATGTCGTGGTATCTTCTTCTCGATTCCTCTCCCCAGCATCCATGAAAGTTTCAGTTTTGCAGTTTGGTTTGAAGTTAAACCTGTGTTGTTCTCTTCCCTGTCTGTTAGGGTTTGGAGGTGATAGAGTCGACCAACCTGAAGTACTTCACCAAGGAGATGACGGCTGAGTTCTACGCTCTAAAGGGCATGTTCCTGGCTCAAATCAACAAGTATGTCCATCAGTTCTCCAACTGTCTGCTCTTTGCCACTTTGTAGCAAACTTTAGATTTGTTTTTTTTTTGTTCTTTTACAATCATAATCTATTGCTTTGTATGTCACTGCCTTCCCCTTGTTTATTATCGCATTGTCTTCAAACTGCGTAAGTGGTCCCTTAGCACTGCAAGGGTGTTTGATCCCGTCAGGACATGGCAGTCATATTTAATCGGCACTTCTGGCCTCAAGCTTACGCACCTCTGAGATTATGTTACTAGGTTACCCCCGTGACGTGGCTTAGATATTAATGTACGTCTGTGTCATCAGTTCATCAGTTTGTGACACTGTCAGCAATGTGTTTTTGGCTGCAGGGGGGTTGCCTGTGGAGCGTACAACTACTCTCTATGGTTTGCTGGATACCCACAGCCACAGTCTTTAACACCTCTTCCCCTTCAGCACCCCTCCTTTCACCCGTCATCTTTGACGTGACATGGCATCCTGTGGGGTGAAAGACAAATTGAGGAAGGTTTATTAAACGTATATGCAGCTCAATAATTAACTCGAGGCAATTTGCAGGAATCTCTGGGATCAGCAGAACTTGCCTCCACCTCAGCAGGGTTTATTGCAATCATTAAGTTTCCCCTACACCGGGGGAGAATTAACAGCAGAGTGGGGGTTAGGGGTTGAGAGAGACTTTGTGTATGTGTGCGTGCATGTGCAACCACATGTGTTGAGGATTTTGGGATCATTCAATTAAACGGGTGTCAGATATTTGACAGTCTGTTGGGTGCCTGTGCTCCTGTTGAGCCGGGTAGTAGAAACTGTTAATGTACTTCAACACCGGCAAAGTGACTGAGGCAACCCCATTAAGTATTACTGGAGGGTCTCCAGCTCTGACTCCCATAGCAATCAAGCTCCCATTTCTTAATCACATGCCAAAATGCCTTTTATAATAACACATTTTAATTGATTGGCTTGGGAGACATTTCGCTGCAAGTAAGTAGGAGTAGTTTTGGAAGCACTCCTAAAATGGAGGTCCATTTACCAACTGTAGCACAGTAAGGCTTTTTCATTGACAGGCCTGTCTCCTTGTTTTGACTGCAGGGTGGTGCTTCTCGGGTGCCTCTTGCATCTTATTTATTAATCAAAGGCTGAAAGGTGTGTAAAAATTATTCCAACTGCGTGCCAACGAGTGGTTAGAAGGCTCTTGGCGTGGTGAAAACAGCTGATGATTCAGAATATATTTCCCTGTCAGCATAAATGGTGCAGTCAAAATGTGGGGGGCCCTGCCAGATTTCACCTGTCTTATTTCTTTGCCTGCTATTTAAGAAAGTGTGACTACTAGATTGCAGTACCAGGATAAAAAATTCCAAGGATTCTCAAGTTTATCAGCCTGCAGATTTAGCTAAGCTGTAGTGATGCTCTTCACGGTCAATGTATTTGTGTACAGATAAATATAGCCATTACACGGAGGTTTTTACCTTGCTGGGGCTCTGTCATTTCTGATAAAATAGGACGATGTTAAGCTTATATATCACCCAGTATTAAGATTGATCTGCACAGTATGATAGCGTTAGGTCCAATATAGCAAAAATCCTGAACCCTCAGTGACATTAATTTATGCTGGGTTAAATGCTTACTCTGTAATGCTGAGGGGAAAGGCCTTGAAGATTACAGCAAATGAAATATGGTGCTTATTGATGTGTAGTACATAATTCAGAATGTGATCATCATAATCTGTTTCACACTCCATCTTTCTCCTTTTCAACCCTCCTCTCCGCACAAGTAATTGCATCCATCTCTTTCAGCTCTACGTTACCGTCAGTGTGTCCCTCACTCTCTAACTCCATGTTCCCTCCCTTCTTTTTCCAGGTCAGAAGAGGCCAATAAGGCCTTTTCAGCAGCAGTACAGATGCACGATGTTCTGGTGAAGGCCTGGGCCATGTGGGGCGACTACCTGGAGAACATCTTCGTCAAAGACCGCCAGCTCCACTTGGGAGTCTCTGCTATTACCTGCTACCTCCACGCCTGCCGCCACCAAAACGAGAGCAAGTCCCGCAAATACCTAGCAAAGGTGATCACATAAATGAGAAGAAGGCCTTTAGTTTGATCATGTTCAAGTGTTTTAGGCAAAATGTGAAGATTCCTTGTGAAATGCTGATACGGGCAACATAGTCATTGTTGTTTGTTTATCTCTTGTCCTCAGTTGTTAAGGATCTAGAAGTGAGCCTGTTTGTTTTGTTTTGTTTTTCTGTTGACTGCTCTGAAAGAAGCATGTCAGCAACCACTCCTGCACAGAACACCCGCTTCTCTAAAAGCAGTACCGTCAGTCAGGCCTTTTTTTCAGACAAGGTCACTTTTAAGTCCCGAGTTTCTTCACCCCATCCAGCCCCTATATTATATTGGTGCCGATGAGAAGAAAGGCATTCTTTTCTTCCCCCTCAGACTCTGCCACAGTTACAAGCAGAGGAGTAGTAATTTAATCGATTATAGTCCAGCGGTAGACTGTGTGGATGGGTTCCCACGGTAGATTGTTGGTGGAGTGAAGGCCATCCTCTGGCACGGGGGGGTTAACAGACTAATGGCCTCCCCTGATACTCCAATCTCATGACCCTCTACATGGACCGACCTTTCTGTAACAGTCAGACCAATGCTACCAGTTGAGTAAGCCCTGTGTGGAAGGTAAAGAGATGGACTCCTTGCTAACAAGCATCCCACCTTCTTACACAGACACACACCAACTCATTCAATACAGCCCCTCCAGCCCCTCTAGAGGTTAGCACCGAAGGACCTCTATATGCTCTTGTAATGAATAAAGGGCTGAGGAATTGTGAACTTCACTAAACTGCCTGCTGGGTTTCTGTGTTCAAAGAGCCACACAAGAGTCAGATTAGAAGGACTCATCCTCAGTGTCAGCTTTTATAAATAATAAATACGGTCGTGCCACATCCAGTGTTAGCACCGGGCATTACTATCATTATCTGTTCTAATAATGGCTGCTACCAGCTACACGTCTAATTAGATGTTTTTTCTGGTGACCCCCCTATGGTATTGTGCTGCCAAGCTGGGTTGGCAGTGCTTAGTCCTGATGGGTGAAGTGAGATGACCAGTCATTATCAGTAATTATACACAATCTGTGTACCCGGGTTGGCTCGTTGAAGAGAGCCTGGGGGGGTTGAGTGGGGTTAATGTCTTCATCATAATGTAGATGCACGCACAAGCACACCAGGGGAGGAGAGATCACCTCCACATTGGCTCAGCTTTGATCATAGTAAGGACTGCCAAGCCCCCTCCTGCTGTGAACGGGGCCAGGGAAGCAGCAATAGTCTGATTAATGACAGAGACCTTACCTCTTGCTACTTGGTGTCTTACAGTAGCTCCTTTTATTGTGAATGGAGTGGTTTAATGTAACTGCCTTGGCAGGAATAACCAGAGTGTTGCATTTAATTTGTTGTTTGTTTCTTGCTTCTTTTCCTACCTGTCTCTCTTGTCTTCACCCCACCCCCTTCTCACATTTTTTTCTGTTCTGTTTTTCATCTGTAGGTGTTGTGGCTGCTCAGCTTTGATGACAAGAACACCCTGGCAGACGCTGTGGACAAGTACTGCATTGGAGTCCCGCCCATACAGTGGTTGGCATGGATACCACAGCTCCTGACCTGCCTGGTTGGTTCAGAAGGCAAACCTCTGCTCAACCTAATCAGCCAGGTGAGGCTTCTACAAAACTCCCTATCCCAATGCCAGATGTAGATGCTCATTGTGCTTTAGCCAAAATCCCTTTGGACTCATATTTTAGTTTAGTTTTAAAATCATCTCTTCCCTCCCCTTGTTGTGTTTTCATTTTGTCTTCTCCAGTTTCATGTCTGGATGTCTGCTCCACCCATCAATCATTCATATTTTTTTCTCTTGGCTTCCTTCATCCGTTTGGGGCAGCACATCTGGCTGGTGTGTTAGCATTAGTACTCATGCAAGTCTTTCTAATCAAGATAAATTAACTGCATTCACGCCAAAGTGGCCTCTCTCCTGCTTTCTATTTACCAAATTAAGCATTCAAATTCTTTCACTGTCCCTTTTACAGCAATTTACTGGCTTTCACCAGTCCCTGGTGAATTGGTTTTTAAATTATTTGTTCAAGAAATGATTATAAAGTTAATATTGTACGCATCCGCACTGCGGGAACAGAGCTAGTAATTAAAACGAGGACTAATTTGCTTTGCTTAATGGAGTATTATTTCCGCACAATTTGAAGAGGGTGATCTTCAAAGAGTAGTCTGCTATAACAAACAGCCATCCTCTCAGCAGAGCAGGAATATTGTATATAGGATATGAGAGAGTGTGTGGAAGAGGATAAAAAGAAGAGATGTAAGAGACAGGGTTTTAAAATATAAGTGGGTAGTGTAAGACATAGATGTAGTATCATGGAAAGACAAATTGTGTGATGAAGCATGATTACTTGGGAATTAATTGGGAATCCTCTCTACTTTTTAGCATGAAAAAGAGGAAACATCACACTGATGGTTGGTTGTTAAGCTCATTAGCAAGCTGGCTTAATGCAGGTTAGCTGTTAAATAAATGAACAGCGGAAACGTACTGAATCGTTTGCATATATGTTTCTATCTTGGATTTTTATATAATGCGTCAAGGTTAGGTGTCTTGTGTATCTAGAGGACACCTGAACAGGACACACAGTTGTTACTGTGATTAAAGTTGTGAACTCTTGGTTACAGTTGAGTCACTTAAACCAGTACCTGCCTTTTGCATGTATATGAATGGATGTCAGTGGTCTGCCTCGTCACCCTGTAATGACTGAAGGGTAAAAGGTTGACACCCCTTTCTTCATCCCCATTTTTATGTAAAGAGAATCCCACATTTTAATGCATGGCAGGCTTTGTCTCTGCCACTCGCCTGAATTATTTAGAGTTTCTCTGCGGCGGCGGGATGTTTAAAAAACGTATGTTGAAATATTGATGAAGGTGAGGAGAAGAGCGCCTGGGGGAAGGCGGGAAGATGAATCAGAAGTTAACAGAGTCTCAACACCTCTCCCCACACGTGCTCTCCCACCCTCCCTCGCTGCCTCCTCCTTGTCTACCATTCGCCCTCTTCCCCTCGGCCCACCTCAGCTTTGCCAAAATATGACATTTCTTATCTTCCCATTAGCGGGCTGATCTTTGGTTCCTCCTCTTCCTCTCTGCCTTCCTTCCTCTTTCATCTTTAATACTGCTGTTAGATGCCACTTAGAACTCCTTCTTTCCGTTACCCCATGACTCTTCTTCTATGTTTTTTAGCACTGTGAAAAGGAGAATCATGAAAAACACATTCACTGTATTTCCAATACATAAAATTGAGAAATATGAGAGATGCCAGTGTGTAAACATTTGCAGAATATTGTATATGTATACGGTGTGAAAATGTGTCCACATTCAACTTATTAAATCTACAGTTTCCATATATGTATTCACTTCACTTAGATATTGGGAGTATAACACATTTCTGCAAGCTAGCAGGAGGAGCAGGTGACAATAACTTATCTTTTTTTCCAGGACTGAGGCTGTGGCTTTTTGTACTGGAAGCATTATACAGATGGCTGTACTTAAACCATAAAAGGGAGATAAAGGCTTTTGGTGGTAGCTAAAGGTGCTCCATAGCTAAATTACATCACCACTGAAAAAGTGGAAAGTGTTTTCCTAGATGTAGTTCAATGCAATAATAGTTTTCGTTCTTCTCTTTTGTATCATCTCCCGGCTGTACGGGCTTAGACCTACAACAGCAGCAGCCTCTTTTACCAGTTTGTTAATCCGATCTGTTTCCCCTGCCTTGGTGCCTTTACAGCATATCATAGACTCACCATGTAGAGTTGTGGCTTACATGGATTGAGGGAGTTTCTTGAAGAATTTGAACTTGCCGAGATCTGGAACGGCTCATTGGGTATTCTGGTCCAAGCAGAACTGCAGTATGTTCCGGTTTGCTTTGGGCCAACCCATTGTTACCCTTGGCAGCTTTTAAATTTGAGCTAGTTCTTGTGTAATCTTGATTCTCCTGGAATACCTGGGCTAGATGTCAGAGGAATGTGGATATAATAGTATAAATTAAAGCTTAGAGGGTCCAAAATCCATTTAGCTTTAGGCTAAATTGTGAAAAATGCGTCTTCTCTTTCATCCTCCATCTCTCTCCTGTATACCCCTCCTCCACCACCTCGACCCACTTTTAGTCATGTTTAGCTCATTTTTTTTGTTGAGATGTGGAGGTATCCCTTTCACCCTGCAGGCATATAGAGGGTCTAGAAGGGATCAAGTAGCTTGTAATTGCAGCCTATGAAATTGTGCTCTGAGACCTGAGAGAAGCTTCCACCAATATGCAGTGGGCCTAAAACCAGGAAACCAGAAAGTTGAATTATAATCCCTAATTACCTAATATATGTTATTCTCAGATTATATGAAAAAAGAACATTCTTTCAGACTGCTACCATGTTCCAAAAAAGAAACCACCGTGGGCAGAGCTTGTTTTACCTCTGCTTATAGGTTAAAAAAAAATGGCAGTTCTGTATTCGCGCCTGTGTAGAATTTTAGGCAGCTTTGTCACAGTTTATGTTCTACTTTTAGGCTCTCGCCTTTGTACAGTCACAGTGATAGCAAGTTGTGTCACAGCGGTCACCCTTTTATATGTTGATGTCATTTGGTGACAAGTGTGAATTGTTAATTGTACAACATAAAGAATCTGTTGAGAATTTGTTCAAAGCTATTACTGCATGTTCAAGACTTTATATAAGGTCCTATAAAGTGTATTTATAGACGAACGCATTCCATATTGCCGTCTGAGCTTGCGCAACTACACGAATGGATGATGAATGTAAGAAATTTACAGTGAAAGAAAAAAGAAACAAATATTTACATGGCTTGCTTGAAAGGTAGCTAGCCTCTTTTTTTTGTTTGTCCGTGTGGATTTTAAGTTAATTCCTTGTTTTAGTAACAGAAATTTTCAGTGAATACGTAATCTTGATTTCAAAAAATTGTCTAGCTTGGATGCTGAACTACAGGACTATGTAACCAACTAATCCTACCTACTGACTGCACTGTGACCTGAGACAGATCTATAGATTATACACCAAAGGTAAACACTGAATTCACCTGCTGTATTTAAAGCAGTTTTACTCCTCCAAGTTTGAGGTGAATTTGATATGTGTTTTAAAACTTGAAGTCTCTTATGTCCTGACTTCATCCATTAAGCCTTTTAGTGTTGTGGGTGACTTTTCTTGAAAGTCTTGAGGGCAATTTCATCATCAGTCACATTCAGTTTTGTAATTCAGCCATGACATGTTTTTAACTTCCCTAACTCCCCTGCCTCAACGCTTCAAACACTCCCTCTGTTACAGTAGTGGTCTCTGGCTGTATCAGTATGATCTCTCTCCTTCTCTCTCTAACACACAAACAGTATCTCTCTATCCCACTCTCCCTCCATCTCTTCTTTCTCCACCTCTGTCTGCCTCTTTCTTTCTCACCCTCACTCTCTCTCCTTTGCAGTCCTGAGGGGGAGTCTTTGAAATGTAATCTGTGACCCTCTTTTATCTGCTAGGTGGGACGAGTGTACCCCCAGGCTGTCTACTTCCCTATCCGCACCCTTTACCTGACACTCAAGATCGAGCAGAGGGAGCGCTACAAAAGTGGTAAGTAAACATGGCTGTCTGTAGTTTGTTGCCCCATTACCACACTCCAAGCTCTTTTATACTTTCACCATGCTGATTTATTAAATGTAAAGGTACATATGGGTTATGTTTATAGCATATGGAATGTGCTCTGTAACATATAACCAGTGTTACTCTGGACTGCACATCTGCTCTTCAATGGTTTGTATTTCAAGAAATAGTAGAATTTGCCTCTGCTTGTTTTTGTTTTTGCTTTTCTGATCCTAATTTCCCTTATTTCCCCTCTTTCCTCCCTGCCTCCTCTTTTCCTTCTGTCACATCCCCCTTTCCACCACTCGCCACTCTTCTTCCCCAGATGCATCTGGACAACAGCAGCCCAGTTCAGTGGGGGCCCAGCCTCACTCAGGGGCTTCGGACCCAGGGCCTATCCGGGCCACGGCACCAATGTGGCGCTGTAGCCGCATCATGCACATGCAGCGGGAGTTACACCCCACCCTGCTCTCCTCCCTCGAGGGCATCGTGGACCAGATGGTGTGGTTCAGGGAGAACTGGCATGAAGAGGTGAGAAGAACAAAAGTGTTGGTTTCGTGTGTGTCTGGCTTTGTTGCTACGCGTGTGTTTTTACTGGATCAGGTGGTGAGAAAACAATACAGGTGGCTGTGTTTTCATGCATCTCTGCATATGTGTGAACGCAAGTTGGAGTACAGATTTTGAGTATGTGTGTGTCACGCCACCTGGTTGACCAGATGACCACAGTTTGCACATCCCGTCTCTCTGGTGGGCCGACACATCTGTTTAGTCTAAGGTGTTATTCTGACTTGTCTGTGAATATGTCATCACTGTTTCTCATTCCCTGACTGAACTAATTTTGTTGACATAAACCTATTAATGGTAGATTATATTCAAGACAGAATTGACAGTAGACTCGTGTAAATTTCAGCTGGTAGACCCCCCCCACCACCACCACCAAATTCATTATTATATAATCCTTTTTGTTGAAGCACATGTCGACTTAAATCATCCATTCAGCCAGCAGCCTTTTTTTCCCCTAGCTAATTGTGCAGATGTCAGTGCAGGGGTAGGCCTGACTTCAACTTGGTGCTGCTGCAAATTGTTTTAGCCATGCTAGGCAGCCTCTGTGTAAGGTACCCAGCCTGTGGGTGGAGGGGAAGACTGGGACAAAGACTCAGCAGGAGGCGAGAAGACTGAGACAGGTGATGGATGGGTGCAGTGAGCGTGTAGGATGGGGCAAGGGATTTAGGGCCGGAAGTTAGTTGGTGTGTGTGTGTGTCTGTGTGATTATCTGTGATGCTTTGGGGCACTCGGCAGCAGCTGCAGACTCTATGCTTCGTTCCACGGGGCAAGCAGGGGCAGAGGCATGCTTATGCCATCAGCACCTTGTCTCTCAGTCTTGCTTTGGTTATTGTATGATATCACTTGGCTGCACCTTTGTTCCTTAAGAAACATATATATGTGTCTCTCTGTCCTTACTTATGTCCATTTGTCAGAGGTCAGACTCAACTGATGCAAAAATGATTTGCAGGAAAATATTGGAGCATCTTTATTAAGCTTTCTCCATCCTCCTCCTCTCTCTGCAGGTCTTGAGGCAGCTCCAACAAGGCCTGGCTAAATGCTACTCGGTGGCCTTTGAGAAGAGTGGTGCAGTGTCTGACGCCAAGATCACACCGCACACGCTGAACTTTGTCAAGAAGCTGGTTAGCACCTTTGGTGTTGGCTTGGAGAACGTCTCCAATGTTTCCACTATGTTCTTCAGCGCTGCCTCTGAGTCGCTAGCCCGTCGGGCCCAAGCCACAGCCCAGGACCCTGTTTTCCAGAAGATGAAGGGACAGTTCACAACAGGTTGGTTGGCTTTTCAAATATACTCACGACTGGCCGTATTGACTTAGAAAGATACAGAACAGACAGAAAGAAAACCAAGCGTTGAAGAGCCCTTTCATTTTGAGGTTGTTCCTGTGTTTACTTTTTGAACAGTTGTTTGTTTATTTTAGTTTCATGGTGGTCAGCCGTGTTAACTTTTGGCATTGCTGGGTTACCTCTTCATCAACACATGGAAATTTTAAGAGACAAAGACATGTGAGGCATATGTTTTCAGGCAACCAACAAAAAACTTTTTTTGACAAGGTGCAACAATTGGACAGGTAGCGAAACCAGCAACACCTCCTAGCTCTTCTCCCTAAAGCCCGGCCTCAGACATCAGCCCCCTTTCAGCAAGCAATAGTAGCATTTGTGTTACTGTATGTCTACACTAGTTTAAATGATGAGACTGGTGCCCAACTGGCCTCTGTAGCAATATATTGAACCAGTTACGTTACATCCACATAGACACTTGTGCTGCTCATATCAGCGCTGTCAGGACAGACTGCACCGTCGCTTAGAGCAGCTGGGGCATTGGTTTCTGCAATGTAATTACGGTTCCCAATAAGATGATGGGATTTCATGGGAGGGGTTGGTGCTGGTGACTGGTTAGAAGTGTGTGTGTGTGTGT